GCAATAGTGATCTGTGGTTATGATAAGCAAATTATTATATTTTAGTGTAAAAAAAAATCTGAAAAATAATATACAACCACCCACAACTGAAGGGGAAAAAAAAAGCTTTAGAAAAAAGAATTTTAAAGCAAAACTTGTATTACCAGCAAATAGGAAGGAAGAAGCAGCTGAAAAGAGATGATGTGTTGCCAGGAAGTAAATAAGTATATGCAGGGAAATGTAACATATAAGATTCCTGGAGAGGAAGAGAGGAATATGGTTAATGGAAGACAGAAACAAAAAAAGCACAGCTGTTTAAATTTTTTAAAAAGTTGCTGTTGCTTAGATGGAAAAGCAAGAGTAAATATGGGATTCATGAAAAGGAACAGTGAAATTTTAAAAATGGGTATTTTATAGAAAAATACATATAGCAAAACCTGACAACGCCTCATCATCATAAAATGATATACCAGCAAGAATCAATTAGAAAAAAATGAATGTCTTAAAAGTCAATATGTGTAAAGAACCCTCTTGAGCACATATAAAAAGTATTAATACAATCCTCAAAAAATTAAACAGAATTACCATAATCACCGAGCAATTCCACTTCTAGGAACTGAAAACAGGCAAACAAAAACCTGTACCGGAATGTTCATAGCAGCACTATTCACAGCAGTCAAAACGTGGAAACAACTCAAATATCCATCAAATGATGCATGGATTAATAAAATGTGGTATTATCCATGAAGCAGAATATTATTCACCCATAAAAAGGAAGTACAGATATGTGCGACATGAACGAACCTTGAAAACTTATGCCAAGTGAAAGAAGCCCAACACAAGGTACATATCCTATGATTGCATTTATATCAACTATTCAGAATAGGTAAATCCATAGACACAGAAAACAAATTAATGGCATCAAGGGCTGGGAGGGGGGAGAATGAGGAATGACGGCTTAAACAAGGACAGTTTCATTTTGGCGTGATGAAATATTTTGGAACTAGACAGAGATGGTGGTACAACATTGTGAACATACTAAAAGGCCACTACACTGTACATTTTAAAATAGCTAATTTTATGTTATGCTACAATGTTTTTAAAAACTATAATGCAGAAGGTTCAGAAATGTGAGAAATCGGTCTCTCAGCCATGTATTTCTCCCTCAGCCTATTGCTGAACTACATTTCTTAAAATATCTTTTCAAAAAGCCCCTCCTGTCAGATACTTCAGGTGTCTTTCCGCTTTGTTTCACAAGAGCCCCTAACTCGTTGAGATCTTATTTTCCCTGACCATCTCGGAGACCACAGGACAGAGGATGGGCAAATCAAAAGCAGAGCCCCAAAGCACAGGAGTGAACTATGCAGTCTGTTAAAGAATGCATTCATGCAACACATTTTTACTGAGGATATCTACTGTGCAAGGCACTGCAACTAAAGATGGATAAAACACAATTCCTGATCTCAAGGAACTCCTAGTAAAACGAGAGAAAAAAAATTACAGAAAGAGAGGGACAGAGAATTTACAAACAATATGGAAGCTGGGTAATAAGAAAAGGCACAGTGTTCTGCAGGCAGCAAGGAAGGAAGCCTGAAGTGCATGTATGTGGTTGGGGGAGAAGGGTGGATCAGGTAGTCTTTTCCTAGGAAGCACATCCTCTCCTAAAGGACGGGAGGAATTAACCAGACAAGAAGGGGGAAAGGGCCTTCACCCACATATGAGGTAGCAGATGACACACAGTGAAGCGGCTATGCAGTAGGGCGAATGACTTAGAGAGCTCCCAGGTGACACTGCTTGATTTTACAATCAAGATCAAGGAGGCTGTGAATGCCCAAGGTTTCATCTAGCTCCACTCTAGAGCCAAGAACCAATATATATCCCTTTCTTCCGGATAGGCTGGGATCACAGAGGTTCTGAGTGACCACAGAGTGGAAGCTCCATGGAATGCTTGTCAGTTCTACATTCAGATCTTTCCGACAGCTTTCTCCCAAGTGCGCTGAGACCATATGATGAGTGAGGTAAGGCATGACTTTAAAAAATAAATTAATCCAAAACATGCCATTCTCATTTTCTACAATTTTGCTCAAGGTCTTCTCAGATTCTACCAGTGCCCTTCAAAGACCATCTCAAATCTCTGTCTCTAACACCTGCAGCCCACAGACAAAGGTGGCCTGACCTCATGATGATGCCCTTACTAATAACTTTTCACACTTGGGGATAATCTGTTTTAAGTTTTTCCCCTTACCTATATTCTAGTTTGCTTAGACAGAGACTATCATTTTTTTCCCTTTTTGTCTTTTTTGTGGGGAGTGGGGCACGGTACACTAGACCAATACAGGGCACAGTGTAACACAAATACTTAAGAAGTTATACTTTGCACATATGGGATCAGAAAATATTATACATAACTAGAAATGCTACGCAACTAGTAATTTTCAAATTTCATCTGAAAGCAATCTATGAAGTCTGAATTCTTACCTTCCCATTCTCACTCAAGGAGTAAATATGTCATAATATAAATCTGATCCAAATTCTTTGCTATTTCACCATAAACTGATATTCATCCTACTGAGTGTCTATGTAAAGGGCATATAACACAAATACCTAGCAGGCTCATAAAGACACCCATTCTCCTGAAAAGAAACAACAGATGTTGCCACTGACAGATGTAGTACCAATGAACATCTGCAAACTCTATAGAAGAAGATTCAACATGGCAGTTTTCACTATATTTTTTATCTTGTCCGATAACTGGCACGGATTGACATCACTGAAAACACTTTCCTAACCCCACAGGTATTTACAAATACTAAAATGAAATTCTGTGCATTTTGAGCAGCACAAAAAACCTATATCCTGTGCTATAAAAAAAATAGGATATTCAAAAAATAAAATAGGATATTCACTGAACAGTAGAAAATGGACCAGGAAACAAATATAAAAAAACTACAGGAAGACAACTCAGAATATATCATGAAATAGAAATTAACTTAGAGAGAACAGTTGATTTTGATGGAAAGATAGAAGGCTGCCATTTTGGAGGAAGAATTGCAAAACTTATTGCATAAAAGAGTTAAATTTCTTGGTAATTAGGATAAATTTCTTGGTAAATAAAATTCACAGGAATAAAAAATACCCCTCTGTATCAATGGGAAAGACATGAATTTTTAGTGTACAAAATACTATAAAAATATATGAAAAAGTAACCAAATAAAAATTGAAATAAGAATATAATTTTACTTAGAATATCAGCGAACATTTTATAAAACATAAATTAATGTTTACAAGGGTATGCTATTAAATATGGCATACTCATTGTTACGATATCTACCAAGCAGTTATTGTACTAAATCTTTTGCAGACAGCACATTTATACAAATTATATTACTCCATTAAATATTTACAACATCCTTATGAAGTAGGTACTTACTAGCAAAACTTTACAATAAATACATACATACATACACGCACAAACGCACACAGAGCAATTAACAACTTGTCCACACAGTTAGCTAGAGGTGAACTGAGGCTTTAACTCATGTGGTCTGATTAAAGATTCCACCTAGTTAACAACAGCACTATGCTGAAAAGCAATACAAACTTTTCTGAAAAGTGATTTAAGCACATTGCATCAAAGATCTTAAAAAATACATATTCTTTAATATCTTAATTTCTAGATTTATAACCCAGGTATTCAAAAATATGAACAAAGGCTTATAGAGATGAATAACACATAATTATAAAACAGTGAAAACTAATATTATAATAGTTAATTAAATTATGACATAATTTATGAAACATTACATCAATGTGTATTAATCAAATTTTCATGTCACAAAAATGTAATATGTGAAAAATTTTTTTAAATGATGGAAAAACAAGGGTATATATGAACACAAAATTGAGATTAACTGTCATCTTGAATTAATGAATTTATAATATTCTGTTTAAGTAGAAAATTGGGTATAAGTTCTTCATCTATTATTAACATCTTATTCATTTATATTTATTAATATTCATTTGTATGTATTTATTTTTTGCCTACAGCACCTGGTCTTCCTAGGTGGTCTCCCATCCAAGTACTAACCAGGCCCAACCCTGCTTAGCTTCCAAGATCAGATGAGATTGGGCTCGTTCAGGGTGGCATGGCCGTAGACTCATTTCTATTTATTAAATATCTTATAAAACAGTCTAAAAACAAAAATGCAATATAAAGTGATACGTTGATTATGACAAAAATATGAATATTTTTAAATGCCCTGTTAAAAACAAAGAAATAGTCCAAAACTTTCATGGGACTGTTCTTGGTTGTTATAGGGCTTCTTATTGTTCTATGACTCAGTTTACTTTCTCAATTAAATTAAATGTATCATAGTTCCAGTTTTTTAAAAAAAGGGCAGTCATTCATGTAAATAACTGAGAACACATCTGTACTTTGACATCCTTCTTAAAGGAGAGAAAGAAAAAAAATCTAATTCCATCTAGACCTCAGAGGTAGCTGCCTCAGATCAGGTTACCTGTTAATACTGTCATTTGCTATCTGGATTCCGCAGTCTATTTGCAACACTGTTTTATAATCCACATAAGCTTTCTGATACTGCTCTAACGTTTCATAGGCCATTGCTCGTCGAAGAAGAGGTTTGATTGAGAATGGATGAAGTTCCAAAGCCCTAAAGACGACAAAAATATTACGTCATTTGTTTTGAAAATTACTCTTTAACTTACACTAACTGAATGTATACTGTAAAATAAGACTCTCAAATACACACCTACCTGATAATTCATCTTGGGAACCTGGCAACATAGCAGAAAGACAAATCCAGAATGGCAGAGCAATCAAATCTATGGCTACTTCCTTTTAAACGAG